AATCAATAACAACAGCCGGGCATGGTGGCTCAAGCTTGTAATCCCAGCACTTTGGGAGCTGAGGTGAGAGGATTGCCTGCGTCTAGGGGTTCGAGACCAGCCTGGGCAACTTGGCGAGACCTCGACTCTACAATAAATTTTTAAAAAGTAGTCAGGTGTGGTAGCACATGCCTATAGTTCTAGCTACTTGGAAGGCTGAGGCAGAAGGATTGCCTAAGTCCAGCAGGTCAATGCTGGGGTGGCTATGAGCGTGCCACGGCACTCTAGCCTGGGAGACAAAGAGTGAGACTCCAACTCAAAATAAAAAAAATAAAAAAGAATGAAAAAGTAAAACTCAGCCTGTTTCCTGTATAGATGATGGCAAATTCCCATTCAACGGAGTCAAATAAATGATCGACAGAACTTTTCCATTGTGAGCTGGTTGCCTGTTACATACAACACATTGTGCTAGAGACCCTGGGTGGGAAAAAGGAATTACACAAAACAGCATGGGTCCTCTGAAAGCCTCTGTTGACTTGGGGAACAAGGTGCAAAGGCACACAGAGACAAGAAACCTAGAGACGGCCATCACAGCAGTCACTCCTGTGTGTGCACCAGGCACAGTGTTGAACCTTTCCAAGTGCTTTGTCTAAGCTTCACCACAGCCTGGCAGGTAGATATTATTATCCCTGTTTTACAAACAAGAAAACAAGGGCCTTAAGAAGTCAAGGAGTTTGTCCAAGAGGACATGACTTGTTCTGAACATGGTTTAAGGCCACATCTGCGGAGCGTGAAAGCTCATTCCCTTCCTGCTACTTCCACACCAATCCGTGGCTCTAGCCAACAATATCAAACAACCTCAAGTGGTCCATGATGTCACTGTCAGCTGAGTGTCATAACCAGGGTATGCAGTCGGAGATCGGGGCCACCACTCCACATAGGAGTGGCCTGGGACACTAGACTCTTGACAATAACCTCAGCCCCACAATGCCCCTTTGCTTATTGTCACAAGTTTACACAAGATGGGGTTAGGCGTCCTCCAGTTTAGAAACTGAGATACATAGAGAATGACGGGGACACCCAGTCTGGACAGGAGTACAGCTGGGGCTGTATCTTCCAGGCACTGCATCTACTCAAGAATGTCTCTCCAGGGCCCCCTCTCCAAGGCCTCCACCTCAGTCTGCCTCCTAGGGCTCATTGCAGAGAGGGACTCTCCACGCACCTGTTCTAGATCTCATTGGCCACATCAGTGGTCTCAAGTGTAGCCCTCAGTCAGGCAGCCCTGCATCTCCCAGGAGCCCATCAGAAAGGATAACTGGGGGCCTCACTGCAGAACCACAGACTCTGCTTAACAAACCCTCTGAGGAATTCTGATGCCGCCAAGGTTAGACACCCTGACCCTTACACTCTCCTGTGCTGTGCCCATGAACACAAAGTCAAGGTCGCTGTGTTCACGAGTTCTGTGACTCACACTGCCACCTCATGAACAAGAAGAAAAGGAAAAGACAGACAAAACCCTCGTGGCTCCCTCCTGTGCTCAGCCTGATGGCCACTCGGCTTCATTCCCCAGACCTGATCCCTGCCCAGCGGCTTCCCTCCCTGGCACCGGCCTCACCTCTTCCAATTTAGTTTGTTTGCAAGGGAAGGAAAAGGTTAGGCCAAGGGGCAGTTTCTTGTGTTTCAGATTTTTGGTCTTCATGAAATCTGCCAGACAGTCGGCTAAGTATTCAAACAGCTGCAGAGGGGAGGAAGAAAATGACACGGGCTGAGGCATGCATCCTCACACACTAGTGCCAAGGCCCTGCCCGTCCCCCCTCGGGGAGCCCTGCCCGTCCCCCCAGGGACCCCTGCCCGTCCCCCCCAGGGGTCCCCGTCCTACCTCGGTGCCATTCCCACGGATGATCTCATTGGGCATCGGGTAGAACTGACTCTCCATCTGGACTTGCCGCTTCCCCTCCTTGGCGACTTGCACCTTCAAAACCCGAAACTTGGACCCTCCCAGATCCAGGGAAAGGAACTCCCCGTTTTCTATCAAGAAACAAAATCATGGAGAGTCTACTGCGATTATGCTGATGCATAAGTTCATAGTGTTTGTTTTTGGCATGGCAACACTGCAGTGTTGGGAGTCTGTTTATCGTTTGTCATTTGGAGTGACAATGCTGTGCTTGTGGAAACACCTTGTGTTTTGCCGATTTGAAGAAAGTTAGTGCTCTTTGTGGGTAAAGAAGAGGGAGTGTCAGGTGGAAGAAAATGAACACTTCCGACATGTTCTTCTGTTTCGAGTCAACAGAAAAGGCAGCAGAGGCAGCTGGAAACATTGTGCCATGCAACGGGGAGAATGCTTTCGAGGACAGCATGGCCAGAAAAGGGCTTTGTCATTTCTTTTTTTTTTTTTTTTGAGTTGGAGTCTCACTCTGTCGCCCAGACTGGAGTGCAGTGGCCGCTCCCGGCCACCGCAGCCTCGACCTGCTGGGCTCCGGCGAGCCCTCCGCCTCAGCCTTCCGAGTAGCCAGAATTACAGGCACGCGCTACCACACCCGGCTGATTTTTTGATTTATTGTAGAGATGAGGTCTCGCTGACCAGGTGGGCCTCAAACCCGCGGGCTCAGGCAATCCACTCACCTCAGCCTCCCAAAGAGGCGGGATTACAGGCTGAGCCACCGAGCCCGGCTGCGGCTTTGTCATCTCAAAGAGGGCCACTTTGACCTGAGTGAAAACCACTGGGCTCTGATGAAGATCGTTTAAATGCTTTAATCCATGATCATCCACTCAGTCAACCCGAGAACTGGCAATTATGGTGAACTGTGATGTCATCCATTGTGTGACATTTGCATTCCACGGTCAAGCGACAAACACTACGAATTTATGCATCAACCCAGTATATGGTGAGCTCTTTGTTAGACGTTGGACATAAAATAAGTGAGCCAGGTATCATTATGCCCACTTGCTGAGGCCAAGGGGTGCATCCACTTGTCAGGGCCCTCGAGGTAAGGGCGGCACTGGGGTGTGAACCCACGCCTGTCTGACTCTGCAGCCGGAATCAGCGTGTTCACTGGAGAAGACAAATGTGAAGGTGCTTCACGCAGAAGGTAGGAGCCTACCATGGGGCGCCACCACAGGAAGGGAGAGATGGTACTCCAAGCTTGGGAGATACTCAAAGGCAGGAAGGAGAGGGCAGAGGTGCAAGAAAGGGAAGCCAGCTGCATACCCTCCCCAATCCAGTAGGCAGAGAAAAGACATTCCAGGAGGGAAGGGAGAAAGGGACGAAACCAAGGCGCCTGAGATGCCAAGGATACTTAATTTTTTAGGTCAGAGCCACTCCCAAAGAGAAACTGGAACATGCCCCAGGCCCAAGACAGATGCTGTAAATAAAAAGGTGGAAACAGGCCGGGCTCGGTGGCTCAGCCTGTAATCCCGCTCCTTGGGAGGCTGAGGTGAGTGAATTGCCTGAGACCGCGGGTTCAAGACCCGCCTGGGCAACTTGGTGAGACCTCACCTCTACAATAAATCAAAAAATTAGCCGGGCGTGGTAGTGTGCGCCTGTAGTTCCAGC